CTGCGTCAGTTGGGGTATGTCCAGACTGTCCCTCCCCCTACATACCCGCCGATCAGTGCAGTACGTGCTTGAGAGTCTAGGAACTACAGGGTTGAGCATTCTGAGGCTGCTGCAGTAGGTGCCTGGACTCAGTTCCCAATTTCTGGGACGGTTAACACTGGTATGTTGACCCCCACGACACAGGATCGCGGGGAGGCGATTGAGGATTACCTGCAGTGGTACAGTCGGGTTTCCCATCCGACTCTCATGGGCATGGAACTGTCAGACGAGAACGAGGTCCCTACGCGTGTCAATACCGCCTATGTAAGTTGGTTACTAAATTTTAATTAATGTTATTTCATTACAATAATTTTATTTTAATAAATTTCAGTCATATTTTTTTATTCTTTCATTTTTTTAGTGGGTGGACCGTCTTTTGGGCATTACATCGACCATGCAGCAGTTCCTTGTTGAATGTCCGGAGGCAGCAGAAGTCCAAGAAGATTTTGCTAAGTTTAAGTTGGATTACGACAATGCCCAATAATGATGTAATGAATGTTTTTTTTTTATTATTATTGTAAAATATTAAGTTGAATGATTTTATTTATTATTTGTAAAACATTAAGTTGAATGGTTTTTTTTTTATATAGTATATAGTATTTTTAATACATAGTATATACATATATGTTGTAAGGAATACGTTTTTCCCTTGAAAACGTATTCTTAAAGTATGTGCTTTTTATTTTTATCGACCTGTTTTGTTTATTTTTTATTTTGTCCACTTAATTTTTTTTATTTTTATATAAATAAATAATTCTTCATTTTGTTTTTTATTTGCTAAACTTAAGTTGAATGAGAAGCGTCATACCACAAGTGAATAATATCGTTCTTTTATTCAAGAAGGATTTTTTTGAACAGTAAACCACAATCGCAACCTAGCCTCGTACTGATCCTCCCAACCCACAACCGATTGATCTCGGTTATGGAACCACATGGAATGAATAGGCGGTAATGGACAATCAGGAGTCAAATCTAAACGAATGTAGTGTGCTGCGGCACCAAGATGGCATATGGCCATCTCACGACATGGTCCTCTAGCCGATGATCATGCACTGAGAGGCAACACTGTGGTGCTGAATAAGTCATGCTGCCCACCTTGCGGACCAGAGCTCAACAGAACGACAACCGCATTAAATATGGTCGCAACGGCGTAGAGGTCCTCCGGAAATTCGAACCAGTGAACCCGTCCACAAGGGCCGTCGGCCCATCTTATGCGACGAAGTTCGGCGTCGACATCTCTAAAATAGATGTACTCGTACAATTCACGGTGGTTGTCGACCTCCTTCGCAATGCTTTCTCTTACATCTGCCCAGTACTTCTGGTGACCATACACGTGACTCGCGATGACCCGAAATCCGCAGTTACCATCCGCATCCACATTCAGGTAACTCACTATGTAGTCCAACATATGCTAGGGATTGATTGCCACATTGAAAATCCAAATATATTTGTCGGTCTAAACTCTGCAATAAATATCATAATAATTTCACGTCACAATTTATATAATCATATAAATACTTTAATTAACGCTCAGCCATATTTAAAAAAAAAATGTATGACCTTCATCCCCTTGTAACTGTTGAGAAGACGAACTTGTCTGTCCACGCGAAGAAGTGGTCGTACGGCTCGATTTTCGACCTCGCGATCTATCGTTGTACTCAAAAGCACATGGTTTACGCTTAGTTGAATTAGTTTTCTTGGGACGACCTCGCGGGTTATCCTTAACCTCAGGTTTCGCATAATCCTGTTGGTCTGGGTAAAGATGACTGTACATGAACTGATTCACGTACCGCATCGTCGCTGGATCGTGGGTTTCAACCTCACTCACAAGCGTCTGAAAGAACTCCGCATCTGACCATGCAGCATGGCTCGCCTGGCTCTGATGACCAGTCCCTATAAGTATACGATAAAAAAGTCAATGAATTAAACCAAATAATGTATTTTAATAGAACAGTATAAATAAAACATTAACCTTAAATTACCTGGCTCTAATATCTCGAGCGTTCTCCAGAACTGGTGAATCATTCCGAGATCAGTCGGAATGTTGAAATCAATTGCGTTACGGAGCAGACAGGCACAAGGAAGTCCATGAGTGTGCTACAATACACAGCCGCAGCTAGTGTAAACATCGGCGTCCAAGCCGTGCATCCTCGTAAACTCAGCGTCCAATAAACTCAGACAGTAATGCGAGACCCTCAGTATCACGCTCGCGAAAAGGATTCCCTTATACCGTGTATTCTTCTTAGATCTCGAGGCCTCAAGCGCCGTCCTGATAATACATTACATAACGTTAGATTATAATTAATTAATGCAGTAATATCATAACGCATTTAAAAATTGCAGTACGTACTTGATTTCAGTCACTTGATTATCGATGTGCTTATTAATCTTCTGCCAAATTGTATCGAGCGCGCCGGTGGACGTCTGAAGCCACTCCTTCAACACAGAGTGGGCACTCTCCACCCTACAGGAAGTTGTGTTTCCAAAATGTGTCACTCGGTTGGTCCAAGCCTTCACAAACTTCTCGCGGTGTCCTAACCATGTGCCCTCCACATACCGTATCACCTCTGGGGACTTCGAATATTTTGCGTACAGCTCGGCAACTGCATCGGTGTAGGCATCGAACGTACTGGCCTATGCAATCGCCTTCCACGTACTGTGCGTGAAAATCTCCGAGAATTTCTTACTCTTCCCAAATAGTTGGTAGGTTTTGGCTTCCACATCCTTGTTGATGTGCCACGTGCAGAGTAAGTGGGCTGATTCAGGAAAATACCTCTGAATAGGAGTGAGTAAACCCAACTCTCTCTCACTGACAACAACATAAGGATATATGTCTTGGCCTATCAGCAGTCTCAACTTCTCTAGAACCCAGTCGTAACTGGCCTCTTTCTCGTCTCTGATGAGCGCATACGCAATTAGGAAGTTCTGGTTGCACGGTGTCATCCCAATCATCTCGACCAACGGCATCTTGTACCTGTGCAAATGAGACCAAGAAGATAAAAAATATAATCAAATAAAAGTTTACTAAATCAAACACACTATTTAAGATTCATACTAATAAAGTATTTATAAAGTAACATACCTGTTGGTTTTATACGTGGAATCTATGCCGACATACCAGTGATATGTCCGGAATAGATTGATCGACGCAGGATGGGCCATGAATATATGCGTCAACGCTTTCGTGTTCGGATCGGATTCTGCATAAACTGTATACTCGCTGTTCACGGCCAAATGCATAAGCTGGGAAGGAACGTCTCTACCGTCGAAACTCTCTTTCCGCAGCTTATCTCTAAAGTTATATACCTGTCACCGATTAACGTTAATTATAATGATTATTATAATTTAAAACAAAAAAGAATATTATATTAATAATAAAAAAGTATATTAATGCGATTAATTTGATAAAAAAAATTATTAACTATCACAATAATAATACATTAGTAAATATAATAAAATTTATTAATTATTACAACAACTTTTACATATAAACAATTAATAATTATAATAATTAACTTCAAAAAGTTAATTAAAACATATATTACAAGATATAAATATATATACCTGTCGCACATGAACGTTGTCTCCCGGATTCTTTTCCTTCAGCGCGGCCATAATTTTTGCCGGGGCCACCTGAGCGTCCGTCATATCACGAATAATTTTCTTAGATGAAGCGCTGAGGCCGCTCAACTGGCGATGACCCTCAGGATACACAGCAAATGTATGGTTATGGTAGCCCTTCTCTTCATTGCTACATCTACAGATCCTCCAGTATGGAGCGTCGGACACCTTTTTTACTTTGATCTCAAAATTGCAACCGCACTTATTCGTTTTTTGTCTTTCTAGAATTTTCGCCCGTATCTCTGTACCGTTCGCCTCTATGGCATTTCAAAAGCCTGACCGTTTTCTTTTTGTGGCTCGAAATTATTAATTGGAAACCATTCAGCATTGTCTGGTGTTTTGCAGCTTCAATAGCGTCTTGAGCACTATTATATAATGTACAGGTATCGAAACGCAGACTGTAATCAACACCATCTCCTCCAAAATCTTCCCATGACTCCTGCTATATAGTACAATATTTATATTTTTAGAACATGTTAAATTAAGATAATTAATTCTAGCATGTAAACATAATAATTTGTAACTCATAACATGATATTATCTAACGTCCAATTTATAGCATAATGAAGTCTAACATGTAACACAATAATTTGTAACTCCTAACACGATCACGATAATATGTAACGTCCAATTTATAATATAATCAACTATAACACGATAATAATTTGTTACTCCTAACACGATACTATCTAACGTCAGTCATTTTATAACATAACCAAGACTAACATGTAATATAATAATTTCTAACTCGTAACACGATAATATTTAACGTCCAATTTATATTATAATCAACATGTAACATAATAATTTGTAACTCCTAACACGATAAACGTCCAATTTATAACATAATCAAGTCTAAAATGTAACATAATAATTTATAACATAATAATATAGTCCAATTTATAACATAATTATTTCGAATATATAACATAGTAATTTAAAAAAAAAAAAAAAAAAAAATTGTTCGGCCGGCCGAAAAAAAAAAAAAAAAAAAAATTGTCCGGCCGGCCGAACCGGACGGACCAGTTCCGACCGGCCGTCGTTTTCGGACGGCTTTTAAGCCGTCCGACCGGCCGAACTTTTGGGACGGCTTTTAGCCCGTTCGAACCGGCCGGCCGGACAGCTTAAAAAACGTCCGGTTCCGGCGGCCGGACACAAAATTTTTCGTACTTTCGAATTTGATGACATTTCACCGTGCACTTTCCTTTGAGATGTTTAGAAAAAATGAAAAGGACAAAATCGTTCAAGTGGAGCGGTAACTAGTAAAATGGGGCGGTAAATAGTACCACCCTTTTCTTATATATTTAGACTAAGATATTCTTCCCAAGTTACAATAAACTATATTTTTCTTGCAAATTATTTTAGTGCAAAAATACCAGTAGTATGTAATTCTTTCGGTAGAATCTCTCATGCTTTTATGCACACACTTCCAGGCTCCAGCCCACTTGCACTGTTTGTGTTCCTTGCTTGTCTTGAAATCCCAGCGATTTTAAATACACCTTACTGATTCCTTCTCAGTTTTCCCCACTGCAAAGACAAACAGAGAACTTTTTTCAGTTTTTGCAGGCAACTTCTGAAAAGCCCTTTTCCCGATTTGGGGATCAGAGGTTAATACCGGAATTTCCTTGCAATCCTTTTGAATCGCAAGCACTTTAATCATTTAGGGCGTTTTAAATGGGAAATCGATGGGTTCCTTTTTGATTGAGGTCCAAATAACAGTGAATTGAAGCTTTATTAGATTTTAGAGATCTTTTTTTTTTTTGCTAGAAACCTTTCTAATTTTGTTTGATTTTATGAAGAGCTGAGTCTGTGGTATCTGAATTTATGTGGTGTCTGAATATACCTTTTGTTTTCTTGAACTAGGATTTGTGGGATTGAGCAGGAGTGTTTTGAAAGGCTTTCGGTGCGCTTGAATTTTGAGCTTAAAGAGGTGTACTAATGGAAAGATACGAACTTGTGAAGGATATAGGGTCTGGAAATTTCGGTGTGGCCAGGCTTATGAGGAATAAGGAGACTAAAGAGCTTGTCGCCATGAAATACATTGAAAGAGGGCACAAGGTTTGAACTTTTTTGCAGCATTTATATTGGCAGATCACTTGTGGTTCTTTCAGTTACCTTTTTTTTCGTGATCTCTACTATCGGTGTTTACGTGGTTTGATTTTGATGTTCTAGGATGCCCAAAGCCTTAGCCCTTTTCCCTTTTGTCGGTGTTGAGTTATGTGGTTGTTGAAACGTGTGATTTGTTGCTTCCTAATGTACACTTGAGTTGTCTTAATTTTGATTTAGGAGAATTTTCGTTGTTTCAACTTGTAGATAGATGAAAATGTGGCTCGGGAGATCATAAACCATAGATCACTTCGGCATCCTAATATAATTCGATTCAAGGAGGTAAAGATTCTGTTTTCATTAACTTTCCTTTGGTGGAATGATTTACAATATGAGTTTGAGTGTTTTGCTTTGTGATGCACAGGTGGTTTTGACCCCAACACACCTGGCCATTGTTATGGAGTATGCTGCTGGTGGTGAGCTCTTTGAGAGGATTTGTAATGCTGGACGGTTTAGTGAAGATGAGGTATTAACACATTTTCTTTCGCCACCAATTTTGGCTCATTTGTGAATTCGAGATCGAGAGAGGAAGATAGTCTGATTTTTGTTATATTTTGGTCCGTGTTTCACCATATTTCCAGTCAAGATACTTTTTCCAGCAGCTTATTTCTGGAGTCAGCTACTGTCACTCCATGGTAAGAGAAATCTAACTTGCGAATAGGATCGTGCATAAAATATTTGAATTTGAATTATCTTTTGAATCTTGTTGAATGTGGGCATTGCAATAACATTATCCCAATTACTCCTTTGATCTGTAGCAAATATGCCATCGTGACTTGAAGCTGGAGAATACTCTTCTGGATGGAAGCCCAGCTCCACGCCTGAAAATATGCGACTTTGGTTACTCAAAGGTAGTGATAGTTACTGGATATTTAGGTGTATCTTTTGTTTAAGAATGTTTGTACACAAATAAGTGTATGCTTACCAGTTTCCTTCTTTCTTTTGTTTTTGAAGTCATCTCTACTTCATTCGAGGCCCAAATCAACTGTTGGTACACCTGCTTATATTGCTCCAGAGGTCCTCTCTAGGAGAGAATATGATGGAAAGGTAAGATCTGTAACTAAAGCCATAAGTTGCTGGTGTAGAAACTTAAATTGTCTTATCTTATGTCCTACTTCCCCTATTTTTCCTGTTATTTTAATAAATAAATTTGTTCTGTGCCTTATCTTATGTGGTTTGTGTTGGGTACTCACTGCTTTCTTTGGCTTCCACCCTTATAATAGTTTGTACCTTCTTCCTGTGTATATATACATATACAAACATGTTGGTGAAATCAAAGAGAAACATAGTGTTTTTGTGAACATTTTATGTTCAACCGTGGTTGGTATTTTACTATTTTTTTTTCCAGTTGGCTGATGTTTGGTCATGCGGGGTGACACTTTATGTTATGCTGGTGGGAGCATATCCTTTTGAAGATCAAGAAGATCCAAAGAACTTTAGGAAAACCATCCAAGTAAGCCTTTTCATTGTGGTCTTTTTTTATGCTTTAAGGTTTTGGCTTATATATGCAGATTACAGTGTCTACAATTAGTAAGTTTATCCCTCGCATTTTCTATGGTGATTTTTTGCAGAGGATAATGGCTGTTCAATACAAGATCCCCGATTATGTCCACATATCTCAAGATTGTAGGCACCTCCTCTCTCGCATTTTTGTTGCCAATCCTTCCAGGGTACGTCTAGTGTCTGTCATATTATCTTGGTATTTTGTAGTAAAAAATGTCACGTTGACTGAATTACTGAAATTTGGTTATGCTTTCGTTTCTGTTCGATTTAAAAAATAAAGTGATGATCTATTTCTATTTTCACTTTTTACAGTAGAATCTATATTGTATCGAAGGGGCAATTTTTTTTGTTTTTTGCTTTTTTTTTTAAAAAAAAGGTGCCCTTGAGATGTAAATTAAAGATAGCCCTCTTTCAAAAGTACTATAAATATCTCCTCAACTTTTGTTACTATTGCAAATTATGCCTCCAAGAGACGCGGCATTTGTTACAGACTTACAGTGTCTCAAGGGGGTTTTTGTAATTCTGAAAGTGATTGATATTTTTAGGCCAAAATTCTTGTTGTTGGTCTATACTTGGATACAAATTTTTTCAAAAAAAATCAATAATTTTTAACCAATCACTTTTTTTTTTAAGTCAAATCTAACTCAACTTTACGCAACTCCACTATCTTCAATATTATCAATATAATTAAGTAATGCCACTCAATCATTCTTACGCATTGCATCAACTATAATTCACAATTTATCCACTCACATAATTTTAACTAACCATCACTTCACGTCATCTCTCTCCTACTTTTACATCAAATCAACTATAATTATTTTATTTTAAATATTATTTTAATATAAACTCAAAATCCCACCCACAACTAACCACACCATTTTTTTTTTTTTTCAAAATTAACCATACCAAACAAAAAAATCCAAACGAAATAAAAAACTTTTATATCTAAGCATCCCCTAAAAATTCGTCTAACCACGTGATTTTTTCATATCTATTTGTTGCAGAGGATTACTATCAAAGAAATAAAATCACACCCGTGGTTTCTCAAGAATCTCCCTCGCGAACTAACCGATGTGGCCCAAGCACAATACTACCGAAAGGAAAATCCGACTTTCTCCCTTCAAACCGTGGAGGAGATCATGAAAATCGTGGAGGAGGCCAAAACCCCTCCACGCGTCTCCCGCTCGGTTGGCGGCTTCGGGTGGGGAGGGGAAGATGATGACGAGGATAAAGAGGATGTTGCGGATGATGAGGTGGACGAGGAAGAGGATGATGAGGACGAGTATGACAAGCAAGTGAAAGCTGCTCATGCGAGTGGGGAAGTTCGTCTCACTTGAAAAAAAAAAATGAAAAAGAAAAAAATAAAATAAATAAATAAAAAAAAAAAAAAATAGTTTTATGAACTTGATATTTTGTGCTTTTTTGGTGTTAGAATTTTTCGGGTCTGTAAATTTTCTTGTTTCTTGTTCGTGTTTATGTGGTCTGAGTCCTGGCTTGTCTAAGTTTTAATTAGTTACTGGAGTTATTAGTTGTTTGAGGTTTTGTATGAGAGTTGGTGTTGTATTGTACTCTATTGTGTTTATTTTGATGTGAAATTCAAATCTGTGTGCTTCTTCTTCAGTTTTTGGTTTGAGGTTGTGTTTGGAGTGCCTGATTGATTATATCTTTTTGGTGGGTGCATCTTGCAAGTGATGTGAAATCAGAACAAGACAAATATGGTTGGACTGTGAAGTGTGAAGTGAAGTATATAACGTGTCTGGATGCTGATGCTTTAGTTGTCAGCTGCATCAATCTTTTCGTTTATACATAAAACATAATCATTATTGTCACGTATAGGCAGGGCCGTCTCCAACATTTTTTTGGCCCAGAGCGAAAAATAAAATTAGGCTCCCCTAATTATAATATTGAATAATATATTTTTAATATTTTATTAATAACAACTTCCACTTCTCAAGTAGGAAAGAACCTCCCGGATAGACAAAACATAAAAGGCTCTTTCTATATATTATTATATTTTTTATTTATATTATTATATATATAATATTTTTAATATTTATATATGGGGCCCCAATTAATTGGGGGCCCTGTACAGTTGCTCACCCTGCTCCCCAAACGCCGGCTCTGCGTATAGGTAGATAGATATGTGAACTGGGTTAGATTAAAATCAAGAAAAAGGAAAGAAGAAAAGCTATATTAGCTGAGGGTAAGAGAAGCCTGTTTGTCTTTGTGAAATATCTGTTGTAGATACTTGTAATACTTTTAGTTTTTTTTTCTCAATAAAATGCAATGAATCCATAAATAGGAATTGAATTATTATGGGCACATGATGATTCTGAAACCTACAGCCCATGGTTTAAAACTTAGGAATTTATGGCTTTCATAAATGCACCAAATTTGACACTATTACTTGTCAGATAGTGAGTGTTTTAAGGGTAGTGGGACACTAGCCAAGTAGCCATGCTCTTGTTTCGTTCTTACAATGATGAGTACCTGACCATAATGGATTCCCATTTTCATGTCAGGTTCCTTTTCATCTTCAAATTTTATTTTTCTATTTATATATTTTAATACTTTCCTATTATACTCCTGCGGGGTTAATGTAAATGTAATAACTATAAGAACAGTACTCCTTTTAATTATGTGTGTAGTGCTATAATTTATTATTATGTTTAGTGTTATTTTTAGCTAGGAATTAATCTTTAAAGACAACAATGTTATATGTAGTATATAATAGTAAATGCAGAAATGATAGTGTGAGAATGTGGAAAAATATCTAATAATAATATTCACAAAGAGGAGTACACATATATATAGATACACATATGAGCCTTAGCCTAAACCTAACTTATAGTACAATCTCAATATTTACATATTTAACACCCCCCCTCAAACTCAAGGTGGTATCGTGAGATCAACTTGAGTTTGCTAAGAAGTAAACAAAAGCGACCGGGAAGGAGAGACTTGGTGAAGACATCTGCTGGTTGATCTGTAGAGGAGACGGGAACAAGCTTCACAGTCCCACGTGCAACATGTTGTCGAATGAAGTGACAATCAATCTCAATATGCTTGGTGTGCTCATGAAAGGTATCATTATGAGACATCTTTATAGCACTCTGACTATCACAATGTAAAGCAGTAGACGACGACTGAGGAACACCAAGATCAGTAAGTAGGCGACGTAACCATAATAGCTCGGAGGTGGAGTCAGCAACAACACGGTACTCAGACTCAGCACTCGATCTGGAGACTAAGGTTTGTTTCTTACTACGCCAAGAAACGAGTGAATCGCCCAGAAAGAAGCAGTACCCAGTAATGGAACGACGATCAGTAGGATCTCCAGCCCAATCTGCATCAGAATAGCCGCTAAGTGTCAAGGAAGAACGAGCAGAGAAGTGTAGACCATGCAATAGAGTGCCTTTCACATAGCGAAGAATGTGCAACACAGCTGAATGATGCGTGGTTCTCGGAGCAGCCATAAACTGGCTGACAATATGAACAGCATGAGCTATATCAAGCCGAGTGACAGTCAAATATATCAAACTCCCAACAAGCTGGCGATATAATGTAGGATCCTCAAGAAGAGAGCCATCTAGTGGAGTAAGACGAACATCATAATCAAGAGGTGTGGAAGCTGTCTGACAATCTGTGAGACCGGCTCGAGCAAGAAGATCAGAGGCATACTTGGCTTGAGACAAATAGAAGCCATCAAAGGAATCAGAAATCTCAAGACCCAAAAAATAGCGAAGCTGGCCCAAACTCTTCATCTCAAAATGCTGACGAAGATAGTCCTGTAAATCGGAAATACCAGTAACATCATCTCCCGTGATGATCATATCGTCAACATAGAG